AAATTCCACTGAAACCCCACTATTTGCGAGATTATATTTTACCCTCATTGCGCTGCAGTAAAACAATCCATCTTTCCTGCTCCTCCTCTGGCAGCCTGGCTTCCCCCGCTGCCCCCGGGATGCTCTGCAGAAAATCCCTCTTACTCACTGCACTCCATGTTATCTTGACTTCATTGCGTCAAGACATCACATGGCCCTCTTAAACAGCAGACTTGCAGGAAAATGCTGCAACAGTGCTTCACCACTAGTGTCCTGGATTGACTCCAGAAGGAGGCACAGATTTTATTTGTATAACCTCATAAGCGACGTCTTGTTCTCAGCCCATAAATCTGTCTGTCGTACATCAGAGGCAATTATAACTTTTTAAGCACTGAGAAAAAGGACATTCATTTAGATAAAGGCAAACAAAAAATTATTTTAAAAAAACATATTACAAATTAAGTTGAACAGAGGAGGCAAAACTCTTTGTAGATTATAACATGTTTTTTTGTTTGTATAGCAGAGGCTTTTTTTGCCTGTCCAACTTTCCAAATGCTATTTTCTTTTGACAAAATATGGCACACCGCCTTTGTTAAATCTTAGGTTAGGTTTCTTGTTTGTTTGTTTGTCTGCACCATCACAGAAAATGTCTTTCCTGATTTTCATGAGACTTATGGGCAGGATGTAGCATGGGCCAGAAAGAGAACTTTACATTTCAGATGCAAAATAATTGTACTTTTGTAAACGTAAGATCTGACAAAGCACTCTGAGAGCTCCAAGAGTTTTGCTTTTTTCATTTAGAATAACCAATATATGGAATCACTCAATAAAAACAACCCTAAACTCCAGCCAAACACAGATTCTCTGAACTTTCACAGCTGGAGAAGGACTGTTCTGTGCTTGGTAAATAGGTCCAAAAAAAGCCTAAGCCAAAAAACATGTAGTTCTATTCATCATTCAAAAATGTCTCTTAATACTTCCATAGTGCATATTAATGATTGAAGCTTACTTGCTCTGTTAATCAAATGTTATACAGACATTTTTGAAGGAGCTCAGCTCACATATGATATTGGGTGGAGTGCAACAGTAGAGAGTTTTCAGTTATTCATCCTCGAAACACCACCATCCTAGGCGGTAACACAGCTGCCAATACAGGATTTTGTCTCTAAGGGTAAAAGTTTAGGGATCTCCAACATCCTAGTATTGTCTTCAGAGGGTTTCCTGTGCTGTGAGGAGACAAGTGTTCACTGAGCTTTCAATTCCTGTCCTTAAACGGTGTAGGGCAATTATATTGTAAAGCAGGTGTCCAGTGGAAGGGTTAGGGCTATAACGGTGATGTATGGACTCGAGGTCGGGAATTCATGAATTAATACTGTGTGCTCTCATAACATGTCATATACAGTACATTTCATAATGAAGCTATAATTTACAGAGCAGCAGTAATGAACCACTGTGCAGAACATTATGACTATTGACCTCAGCGAGATAATCAGACTCGCCTAAGATCTTAAATTGATGATACAATTAGCATGAATATGTATATGCACACAAAAAAACGTTCGGACTAAATCCCAGTGGTCGGCAGACAACTCTTGCAAATATATTGCTCCATCATTAGTTTAGTATCACAGAAAGACACTGATTACTAATTTGTATTTTGATTATTTCAGCTTTTGGGACTTACTTTTGCTTTTACTAAACAGTATTGCAAGGGAGTGGCAGTGGACTTTATAATTATAGCCTAATAATAAACAGCCCAGAAGCTGTTTTTTCTTTTTATGGGAAACGACTAGAATGACACAGAAAACCCATTTTCCATTTCATATAACAGAACGAGAAGCAAAAGGTCCTCAATAAGCTCAATTACACAAGACACAATCTAATTATATGATACTCTCACAAGGTCCTTCAATTATAGCCTATTATAAAGCTTGAAATGATTAAATCATCATCCAGACAAATAATTGTGGTCTTGTTTTGGATGATCCCACCAGACTTTGAACATATTTCTGCTGCTCCTCATCCCCCTTTTCTCCATCGGCCTTTTTATCTGAAGATAACCCCCAACTCGGTTCTCCACAAAAAAAAAAAAGCAGATGGCTTCATCTTTAAATAGAAAGACATAGAGGCAAAACGCAGTAGGTCTGCCACCAATTATAGCTTCATGTGTAATCAAGCAACAACATGAATGTTTAATTTCATCACTTTGAATCAAATACATAGTTTCTTTGGTAGGATGCACAAATAATCCCACCTGGACTTTGAGAATTTGCCTTGAAATCAACTCAGATTGTTCTCAGACACAGTTTGAAATAATGGGGTCAATAACTTTAATACATTTACTGTTTTGCTCTTTAATACATGACTCACTAATATTGTAATAGTCTAACTGGCTGCTAGTTATTTTTCATTGCATACATTCAGTGATGTTCGCATATGGGATTTTATTATGTGACCTATCTAGATTCATCTAAGGGAGCCGCTAAACTGAAAGTGGGGCATCCATGTTTACTGTAGCATTTTAATTTGTGGTTCAAAGCCTTGCTACATACATGTCAGAAAGGAAGCAAGGAATGAGGCTGTGGGTGCAGATACAAAGACCTTTATGCTAAGGATATGTATTATACAGATAATATAGAAAATGAAAGATCTTAAATATCAAACATTAATCTTTTGAAGCACTTTATGTTTTGTGGTTTGCCCCACTAATAATGTTTGAGTATCAGAATCCTAACTGAGAGTTTTATCTATGCCATAAACCGTGGTCATTGTATTTGTTTACATGGCAAATCAAGGAAAGGCAATTATGAACATCAGTCTTTTTCACTTTCACTTCAGGACTACATAAACATTCTCCTCACAGATGTAAAAGAGCCACAGAGGGGTCCCTCACTTTGTTTAAACCACAGCCATTGAACCCACTCAAAGAGCTGGGAGTACTTAGGGAATAATTCTCCAGTTTCTCTTGGTTCCTGAGAGGGAAGGGCACACTGCTGGTGTGCATGACCTATTTTTCCAACTCATCTGTCAAATGCAGAGCTGCAGCTGGTGGTTCAGAGTTCCCCTTTTGTGAAAGAGTGTTTTCAAAAGTCCTCCTTTTCACTCATGCACATCGGTGTCACATTTTCCTGGGGCATTTCTCTTGGCTCGTCTGTTTTGGCACACTTTTTTTCTCGAAAAAAAACATATCAAACAAGGAACTGCATTTTTGGGAAAGTATTTCTGTCAGGATTGAAGAAGTTAAGTGGTATGTCCCACTAAAAACTGAGCTTTAAGCCCTCAGAGCTGAGAGGGAAAGGGAGGCCCCCGGGTGAAGGGGAGGGCTGGGACAATGGTTAACCACAGAGTGAAGCATGCCGCTCGAGGCAGAGAACAGGCGGCACGACATCACAGGGAGAAAAAAGGCTTGCCCCCACAGCATCACTGTTGCAATTCAAAGTGATGGCAGTGTGAGTCTGCATGCATCATCTTTAAGGCTGACCAAATCACACCCCCGACATTATGGAAACACAGTCTGTGTCGCTGCAGTGGTTTCACCATTCAGTCAGCGGCTCATCTGCCTGGCAGAGTGGTGCTGCCATGGCTCATGTATAAATCTATCCTTAGTCCTTTCAATGACTCATGAATGTAACTCAAGGATGTTACAACATGCAATGACTTAGATTTAGGAAGTCCATTTTTCAACTGGCGCTTTCAAGTGCATGGCCATGAAGACCTTTTTGAAGACAATACAAACAAATATTTAGGAATAGTGGAAATAAATTCTCTGCAGCACAGAACACGATTGTGTATTCCTATTACTTTAAATGAAGGACTCACACATACGATATACACACTTTTATCATCACAAAGTTTGCATGAATAATTCCAAAAGATACCAAGAAAAACACTGAAAGCATGAAGGTGCTTTGATGAAGCGCCGCTCGGTGTACTGTAATCTTGGATTCTTGTAGTTTTCTTTTACACTTGACACAGTAACTGCACTGAGGCAGTGTTTGTATGTGACAACAAAACCTCTTTTATATGAGATGATCAAACAACATTTTGGTTTCTAATAAGAGATGCTCATTAGTGGGAGTTTTCCTTCCCATGGGAAGTGACACCACTCATCCTGTTTGCTGTAGCCTCTTCCATCAGGTTGCATTTCTGTTCTGCAAAATAGGCCTTTCTCTCTTCCTGAGTGAAGGCATGCTGATGACAGCACTACAAAGACGAATCGGGTTTCTCTCCTGGGTTTCTACTGGCATGAAGGATCTGTAGTCTGCCTGGCAGCGTCTTCTTAAGGCGAAATGTAACCCTTATACTCGCTCCAAGTGGGGGAGTGCATTAGGTTCTCAATAAATCAGTTTGATCTCACAGACCTACACTCAACCGTCCCTTTACAGCCTGGCATGGAGTTTCAGTGGTCATTCCCACGCTCAGCAAGAGGCTTTGTGCTGCTGATGGTCTGAAGAAGTATAATGAACAAAGCTCTGAACATTGCATTTCATGATGATTCACTGCATTCACCAAAAGTGTGTGAAGATTGTAGATGATTGCAGGACTGCTCGGAGTGACATCACATACAAGTCATGCTTTACATGTATTTTCCCTTTAAATATTATTAGTGCACATTTTGAGTAGTGCAAAAAGTCCCATCCTAATGAGTGTATCAAAACTGATATTAACTAACTATGTATGTAAGTCTTAAGGCAGCAGGTTTCTAAAGATGAGTCATCATGTTGTGTTTTGAACAATTTTTTTGGATTGCTTCATAGTGTTAACGAGTGTTTCTACTATCTTTATATTTATATAACCTGTAGTGTTTAATCCCTCTTAACATATTTGTCTTCAATCAAACACTTTCAGTATGTGTCAATGTAGAAAAAAATGTACAGCTTGAAATTGGTTTGTCGAAGAAGAATATCTGAGAAAAATAATGATGTCTCATCATGATATGTTTTTGAGAATGTTGTGCAATGTTGTGACAGCAGTACAAACAGTCCTCTAATATGCTCTTTGTTTGGTGTTTCGATGCACAGAGATCCGTAACCAGCTGGTGGAGCAGTTCAAATGTTTGGAGCAACAGTCCGAGTCTCGGATCCAGCTGCTGCAGGACCTGCAGGAGTTCTTCCGCCGCAAGTCAGAGATTGAACTGGAATACTCCCGCAGCTTAGACAAACTGGCCGAGAGGTTCTCCTCCAAGATCCGCAGCTCCAGGGAGCACCAACAGTTCAAGTGAGTGTCCCTCCCTGCAGGCTGGAGATGCAGCCAATTGCTGCTGAAACTGTTACAGGTGCTGTGTGTGTGCAAGGGCGTCGGGTTGGTTAATTGAATGGTCTACAAAAAACATAAAAATACTGACCTCATACGCATCCTCTTCTATGTGCATCTCCACAAAAACACTGTACTCAGCTGCTATATTTCAAATATAATATCTGATTGATGTTCATAAAGCTACTATCCTTTCTCCTTTCAACATGTACTGTACTGTAGACCACAGGAAAGTGACTTTATCCCCCTCTCAACACTTCTCTATTTATAACCTGGCTGTAGGACCCAGCCCTGCTGCTAATCACAGTGCCTTGTTTGATTACAGTGCAGAACTATACAACACACTACTCCAACATGATCATGTACTGTAAGAGAATGTCCATTATTACAGTCAAGATCTTTAAGGTGTCTTCAAAGTTCAGCTGGTTGGTTCTGGGGCGATGCTGAGGATGCAGTTTATCAAAGAGGTTAAAGACTGTTAAGACTTTCAGCTCTAGAAACACTGAAATACGCTGGTGCAAAAAAAGAGATGTCTTTTGCACAGAAACCACCACTTTGGTACCATGACTCACACGGGGCATGAAATGAAGCACTGCAGTTCCAACAGTCCAGCACCTGGGGCGAGCAGGCAAGTTTATTTCTGTTAGTTTACTCTGGAAACGGGACACTTACCCAACTGTGACCTGGCAGCAGATCTTAGACAATAATCTACATTGACCTTTATTTAGTCTACGTTCTGATTTTGAAAATGGAACTGGCAGGACTGCGATCCTCACATTTAATATTTTGAATCTTAAAGTATGTAATATGAAGACATCTATCCAACTCTTAAATGCTCATGGTTATGCGGCACGACAATATTATAACCAGCATGCTCAAATGAAAACAAAATAATATGTTAACACATTTTGTTATCAGGTGTGAACAGACTTTTTAGTCTGATACAGTAAATGCATGTACCATATGAATACTACAGTAATGTAAAACAGAAGGAACATAATTCCTGTATGTTATTCAATAAAATAGAGTAAATGAATCAACAATTGGTACGTTTAATTACATTAGGGGGTAGTGCAAACTACTACATATGGTTGTGCAGCATAGTGTATGCATGCAGTACTTTTCTGCTCTTATTTGGAGAGTTTGGACAACGCCAGTAGAGCTTCTCTGTGAGTTTACTTATGATGATTATTAAAAACTTTTACTGGAGTTACACACCAAGGGCTCATTGGCGCTCTGACACAGAATAAGGAACGGTAGAAGTGTGTGTATAGAACGTAAATGTACAGTACGCAGCAGAGCTGTGTGTGAAGTGGATGAGGATTTGAATTCGTAATTGAGTCCAGATGTGTTTGAGGCGCTTCACTGTGCTGTCTTAATCTTGTAGTATGGCTGATATTAGACAGAGCTGTGCTGCAACACACTGGCTAAACCTTTGGACTGCACAGTAGATTTGTATCCAATCACTGGCGGCAGGTGTTATAGAAAAATACCGCATATAAAAATATATTACCCTTTATCCGAGATCATGGCAAATAAAATAAAAACCGAAGCCAATAATTGTCCAAGTTCACACATAGTTCAAACATACACACGCATGCACACAGTTGAACAATATGTGCTAAAGGTCTAAACTGGACCTGTGAAACCACAGAGGAAACGTGGGTGAGAGGCTACCACCCATACTTGACATATATAGATGATGTAATCAGTCACACTTAACATCTGTGTTGCCTGTCCTTCGTACAACACACACTCTTTACAGAATGCATTAGTATCAAACTGACTAATATTTTATCCAAAGAGAGTATTTTTATGCTCATAACGTGTTTGCACCTTGTACTGTGCACTCCTGTGAGCAGACAGGCAACCACTAATCCTTGTAATCAGCTGTGACACACCCTGTACTGTGCCCTCCCTCCCACTTTAGTGAAGTTTAGTTTATAGCAAGCCACCAAAAATGGAACTTTGCTAGAACACAATTTGTGGGTTTTTCAAAAAAAAACACTCTCTGTGCATAAATCCCAACCATAAGCACAATCAAAAACAGTAAAAAACAAAAGTTTGTAGGCCTTTAAGCCTTTTGGATTTGATCCCTTTATTGATTTGATTGATATTAATGATCTTTTGCTTGGTATTGGTTTTCACTAAAAGGATGTTCCCATGTCTTGTGATTAAATAAAATTAGGAAAATATAAAAAAGAATTACTCCAATAGGTTTAGTGGCATTTTAAGAGTTTTAAATATATTTTGATGATTATTAAGATAATCTTGTAAACCACATTATTTTAGAATAATTACAACAAGACATTTCACATCGTCCCAGGAGTACTTCAGAACATCATAGCATCTTGTGCCAGTTAAACTTACAGTATATGTTTTAGAGAGCTATCAAAACTGAGCGTTAAACTTGAGTCATTTTGACCAGGGCAGACTTCCATATGTGCTGGATCACAGTTACAGTCTGTTGGCTGAACCCTCCCAGTGCAGATTCATTAGCAAGCTGAATGCCACAGTGATTTACAGCTACTGCAGCTTCAGCTGCACCGCAGCAACCTGACCAAGGATCATTTTTGCTTTTCCCCTTTACCTCATTTGCCACAGTGAAAAGAAACACTGAAGGGTTACTGAGCTGCTCCATGCTGCAGTTGCTACGCCCAATAGTGCACCACTTCCTTTCTCTTTCTGGTTCACAATTCCTGAGAGACAACAGATAACTTGATTATAACTATGGGGTAGACATTTCAGGGTATATAATGTGTGTGATTTATAATGTAGCACATCAAATTAGAGTCGATTGGTATGATCCATCTGTCATACATACAGACATATTCAGACATAAAATAGCACCATTAAAAAGACATCTCATGCAATATTGATATGGACAATAACCTGTCTGGTAGAGATAAGACTGGGCTTGTTGCAATGCCCAGATTGGTGTGTGTCTGTGTGTGTGTGTTTGTTAATCTCTTTGTGTGTATCCAAGTGATTGGTTTTGGAGGAGCTGGGGGAGAAAAGTGTTGTGTATCCGTACAGTGCCAGATCTTTGTACGGTATATTTTAGTTTTGAAGCTACTTTTTCTTATTTCTAAGTGATGTCTCTGTTCATTTCATGGTCAGCAGGGTACAGCTTTGAAAACCATCAATGGATACTTCAGCTTGCTTCTTTTAAAAGCAGTTAAGAGTTATGCAGCCTGTGTCCAGAACGCATTTGTCTTTAAAGGGCCACCATGAAAAGTGTGAATGCTTTAGTTATGATGTGATTATGATGAATGATGTCTGCTGCAGTAGGATAGTACCGGATGATGTTTTGTGCACTGGCAGTATAGCTGTATTCCAACTACTACTAGCTTTTGACCTAATGTGTGAATGCAGTTGAACCATGGCTGCTCTTAGGGGCCAAAGGCAAAAAATATTAAACTATATATTTTTTTAAGACTTGATTTATTTCAACACAGCATTACAGTCCATGCTCTTGTCAGCTTGACAAATCAAGTTGATGTAAGTCAGCATGCACAACATCAGTAAATGTTTTTCAGATCTTGTCAACTCTTCATTGAAGCCGTGCTTTGCTCCACTCTGCTCTGGTTCCTGTGTCTGTGCAGCTGTGCGTTATCAAGTGTTGGCAGTATGTCTGCTCACACAAAAATGTGCTAAATGATGTGCAGATCAGCACTAAAGCCCTGCTTGAAAACAGGGGCAAAATGAATTTCAATAGCAAAGCTGGCTGCATGTGCCCACGTTCCCCTTGTCTTTTGAAACTGTGTTTGGCTCCTTCTCCTCTCCTTAGCTGTTTCATTGATAAGCAGCAGGCAGGCAGCGTGGAGGGGATTAAAGGCCTTCACAGAGCCGAGTCCTGGTTTGATAAATACACACTTCCTTCTGGAAATCCTGGCTCAGACACATCATAGGCCCTGGGTGATTAGATGGTGGCATCCACTGCAGCCATGACTAAAGCAGATGCACTATTCCATATAATGCTCACTTGTCCAGGGTATGCACATTATGGGGACAGCTTGCCATCATTTTGTCCTTGAATCAAAGGATTAGAGCAATATTGTCCAACCCTACACTCTTTCATTGTTTCTCTTTTCACTGTCTCTGTCTGATCTTCTTCATGCTTCATCATGCATTCACAGATGATACTGCATGTATGTGTCTGCCTCACAGAGACAGTGATGCAGTGCAGAAGTTGTTAAAACCATAGAGACACCCAGGCAGTGCTTTGCAGAATGAGACGGATGTAATAGGATGCCAGAAAGCTGCACTCGTCTCACCTCCTTCTCACTTCTCTAGAGACTCTCAGAGTTCATTGTTTGCCTCCTGTATGTTAATGATATCCTGTGTATAAATACCGAGGGCATGGAGCTATCCAAATCCAACCCTTTTGAAGCCCTCTATATTAATTGACCCGCGGGCTTCACGATTGATACACAGCCTTTTACAGGAAATCGGCAAGGAGAAGTGGTTACAGAGTAGAGATTAATGAGTTTTGCTCAAGTTTTGCTGCATGCTGAAGTCAATATTTTGTGATAGATTGACCTCTGTTTAAAGAGCTGGTACAAAAAAAGTATTGTCTCTTTCCCGTAAAACGAGTACAGGAGCTACATTTATTGCAGTGTTAAAATACTCCCAGACATGCTGCTAGTACACAGGCCTAATTACCGACCTTCTGCTCCTAATTCCTGCGAAATGAGGACAGCGACTTGGGAAGAGAGGTTTGGCGTCCTTTGTCTATTTCTGTCTTCACGCTTTAACCCTTAGCATTAGGAATATGTACGTTTTTACATTTTCAGACCTTGTTATTTATTACCATCATTTTAAATATTTTCTGCCAAATTCATCGCTTTGGTCCAGACTGAACTAAACTACCTCAACAATAGTTAAATAGATTTCCATGTGTACAGACATAGTCATAGTCCCCAGATGATACATCAAAAATAACTAAGTAATCCGCAGTTTTTTCCCCTCTAGTGCCGCCAAGAGATTGAGATGTGACCTTGAATTAAACCACCATAAAACCATAGGATGGATTGTGATTTACTTTTGGTACATTCATGCCCAATTAGGATGAACTTTGATGATCCTCTGATATTTCAACCCGTTTTTACTACTTTAATCGGTCTGCTTCTGTGGTTTATATAATGTGTTTTTTTGCTAATTAATGACTGCTGAAACAGCTGATGTGAACATAATAACACACTAAACTAAGATGGGGACCACAATCAACATTAGACCTGCTGATCATCAGCTTGGTAGTATTGTTATTATCAGCATGCAAGCACGCTAATGTTAGCAGTTAGCTTAAAGCTCCCTTATGTTATCCAAAGGCACATCATGTCTATAGACTCATGGTTTTGTTTGATGCATTATGAACATACTTATGCTATGTGTTTGTGTAGTTCCTGCTGATAAAAAAGAAGAAGATTGAAGTACTGATACTGAAGAGGATAAAAAGAGACACAAATTGGAGCCTGCTTAGTGATGTGATGAAGCATCTCTGACCACTTTTAGGGATTAGCAGAGAGCAGAGGTGCTTTTTTTCCTTAAACCTTTCAACCACAAACAGCAATTAAACACAGAGGAGCTGTGTTGCTTACAGGAAGATATGTCAGTCAAGCAGAACAGAGACATTAGGCCATCCAAGAGTAGTGAAGGAGAATCTGGTTCTCTAAACCCATGATTTCCAGCAAGTCTGGTGCAGCTCATTTTTAATACAGCAAATTAATGTTCAATTTAATCAATTTATTATTGCAAGGCTTTAATGGGGCGTGCTGGATTTTCCATAATAGCCAATTAATTGACTTGCAAAAGGCATCTCAGGACAACTTCTCTATCTAATATAGCAGGCCCAGTAATAAATGTACATAAGATGTTTTGCCATCCTGCCTCCAGCTTACTGCCGTGCACTGATGCCTGGAGAACCATGTGTTGGTGTTTGTGTCCTTTCAGCCTGATGTACAGTAAGTGCGTTTATGGGCAGAGTTGAGTTAAGGAATAATGGGTAAAGCACTCTGGAGTAGCTGGATATCAACTTCATTAGATGTGATTAGCATTAAGGAAGCTCTCTGAAGGACGGCTCTTTGATGTTGGTGCTGCTCATCTCCTCTTTCTGCTCCACAGTGAAACACTATCTCCCAACCCTTGCCCTGGCTCGCTCCCTCCTTTGCTTTCATTTCCCATCTTTCTTTTTCTCCCTCCTCAGGGTTGGTTGATCGATTAACGCTCAGATAGGATCCATCCAGACAAGGGTATGGGGTTTAAGGGGATTGTGTATGTGTCAGCTTCCTTGTCTCAGCCTTGCTCTTTTTATTGGAAATCACCAGAGGCGGAGACAATTTAAACTGATTATGCAGCAATCAGAGCCCATGATTCTCTGGTCATTATGGTCACCAGCATTAATTTATATATTTACAACAAGTTGATGCCTTATAGGCGTTGTCTTTGAGTGTGGTTGCAGGAAATTATGAAGTGAGGAAGGAGGACATTCACTTAGTAAAGAAAATAAGTTTGATATAGTCATTTATCACCCACATCAGTATGAATTGTACTGTATTAACTTTGTTGATTTCCTAACAATTCGTTCATCGGGCATCAAAATCTGTTAAAAAGTTTACATTCTCCAATACTTTGGTTAAACCTTATATGTATACTTTCGCCGTATGCTAAGATGGTCACTTCACATTAGCATCCTAGCATTGTCATTGTTAGCATGATAGCATGCTGATTTTAGCATTTCAAAACACGGCTGTGTCTGATTTTATCCTCCTTATGCTGTTGACTCTTATTCATCTTTAAATTAGGATAATACTATATAAACTAAACATGTATAACCACCTTTACATACAGTTTCTAACAGTCCGGTATTTTTCTTGTTTGGATTCTTTTTCTTCAGGAAAGACCAGCACCTGCTGTCCTCAGTAAACTGCTGGTACCTGGTGCTGAACCAGACGAGGCGAGAGAGCCGTGACCATGCCACCCTCAGCGACATCTACACTAACAACGTCATCCTCCGCTTTGCACAGATCAGCGAGGACATCATCCGCCTGTTCAAGAAGGTCAGAACAACTATCATCCTTCTGCATTTGTTTTCTGCTGCTCTCTTATTACCAGTGCTCAAAAGGTCAGATACAACAAGCATGCCAAGCAAAATGCTTAAATACATTGTTTGTGGTTTTCATCTTTCCCTTTTTGTTAGCTTTTAGACTTGTTTTAACGCTTTGTTTTTAAAATCTACTTCTCTACTTTTGTGCTTAAATGTATCCAAAGCATACAAACTGATGCTAGCCCAAATAAATGTGGTGCGTTGAGCTTTGTCCCAGCACATTTTCATTTAGTAGAAGGTGTATGAGTTGTATTTGGCCTGCACAACAGCATGGGGAATAGTGAAGCTGAAAACCCCTCACCCAACACCCTGTACCCCCTATAAGTGTGAGCAACATCTGGCTCAATGTCAGCACATAGCAGGGATGACTGAGGTCTTATCCAAACACCAGAACCCTGTTTTCACCTTGCAGGCTTTTCCTGTAGGGGAGCTGCACTCTGCTTACTGGGCTCCATTCAGATATTACCACTCCGTTGGTTTAAGTCCTCAGTGTCCTCAGATATGTTTTCAATACTTGAAAGTATGAATTGATGGCTTTGCTGCTCATAGCTGGCAGACATAAGGCAAGGCAATACATAATGCATGAAAAACATCATGGTGCACTGCAAAACATTTAAAAAAGGTTAAATGTAAATAACTGAAATAGCTTGTCATATTGGACATGACAAGGAGATCAAGGACAAAAAGGTAGAGCTTTCGTCAAAAAATGTATCCAGGGCCTGTTTAGCATATAAATGACAAACATTAAAATGACTAAATATTAATGCAATGAATGTAGGAGTGTCAAATGTAAGCCTGTTTTATGACTCTCAGTATAAGTTAATTGCAAAGATAACATCGTAACATAAACTATAGCAGGTGCAACTCTGCTTCTTTTCGCCTTTTCATATAGGGAAGATTATAAGAATGTTTACTAACAGGCATTTCTGTAAGAGCTGCTACAATACCACCCGTCACATCTCTTACAGTGTGTTGCATCATGGTGCTTCACTTGCTGGTTGAACCCTCCCTGCTCTCCCTCTCTCTGCAGTGCATGCTGCAGTCTGTCTCACTTCAGAGCCACCGATGCATACAGATGCCATTCACCAGCTGCCAAAGCCCTTTGAGGATATTCCCATTTATCACATTCAGTCCAATGCTTGTTCGACTAGGACTTAAAACCTCAATACACACAGAGTAACAACATAAAACCCCTTCTGTGATATTAAGGTTATTTAGTTTTTATGTGTCCATGCCTTTCTTATGCCAAGAATGTTCTTGTTTTGGTTTTGTTTGTCTAACAGCAGGATTATGGAAAACCACTGGCTTAATTTACACGACACCTGGGCATAGGGAAAAGAACCAATTCAGTTTTGCAGAAGATCTTAATCACAGGACAAATACATAAATTATCTTTCACTTTCATTACCATTGCGTGATATGGCATAGCCTTGGCGGAGGTCTGTGCTCTCTGAATGTGCTTCTAGTTTTATTATGTAGCTTAGTGAAGACCTGTTGGTGCAAGATTCCATTTGATGATTGTTATTTTTTGGATGAATCGTTACATTTATGACTCACTAGTAACATGTTATTTCAAGCACAGTTAGAGTTATTCACATCAGGGTGCGGACAACATGTTTTGTGTGTGTGTGTTTTTCTTTCAAAGAAGCTACTCCTTGTTTAATGAACCTGTAAGAAAATAAAAATGATATTATATTATAAAATGATTCATGTTTGAAATTACCATTATGCATCTTGCTGAGTCACTATGATACCAGGAGTGACGAGTCAGCTGTTGACGTTGTTGAAACTGACACTTATCACTCATAAACATGGCATCAATTGCGTTGACCTTTTTACTTTTAACTCAACAGTTTCTCTTTTCCTGTCCGTCGCCCGTAAAGACCCTTAAAATCTTCCTCTTTTTTTTTTTCTCCAATGCAGGGTTACAGGCTCTGCTAAAGACTCAAAGTGAAATAAGACCATAATATAGAAATATGTACCTGCATGGTTTGACTAAAAGCAGAGAGAGAAAATAACATGGGAAGGGTTGTAAATAATGTGCCAGAGTTAGCATGGCTAGCATGCTAACAATGGGGTTCACTTTTTTATAATACAGTGTTATACAGCATTTGACTGTCAGTAACCTCTTTAATGTCCTCTGCTGCTTGTGTTATTTCTCCATAAAGTGTATATTGTCTTGGGCTGTACACCTCTGAGGGAAACAGAACAAAAACAAAAGATTATAGAGCTTAGCTGCAGAGCAACACTTTTCAGAATCAGAATCAGAAATCCTTTATTAGTCCCAGAGCGGGGACATTTACAGTGTTACAGCAAAAAGTGGCATAGCAGGTATAAAGAGGCATACATTAGAAGAATAAGCTAACTTCTTAAATGTAGAGAAGAGAAGAACACATTTGTTATAGAATACAAATTATGAGCACTTTTACATTAGAAATAGCATTTCAAAGTTAACCACAACTCATGGTAACAATAAAGAGAAAATATGAACCTGTATAAATGTATTAGAAGACTAAATAGTTAACATTTAAAAATTCGATCTCAACCATATCTTCCTATAGCTCTGGGAAGTTGTGAGAGGTGTTGCTTCTGTTTTTTTGAATGTGTCAGACAGTCACACTGAGACATGCGTGTGCTGTTGGTGCATTTTCTCACCTCACTGTCTTCAAATAAAGGCTTTGCGCTTCTCTCCCACACAACAGACATTATTAGATTCTCTCTGTCATCTAAAGTCCAGGTGTGTCTAGAGTTTTTTTTATTACAAGGCTTGCTGTGCAGTGAGATGACTGAGTGTACAGTTGTCAAGAGTAGAATTAAATTTGCAAAACATATTGAAGGTAGAAAGAAAGGATAAGCAATATTTTCCCTGGGGAAATATGGCTTGTTATCCACTAGCATGCTATATCATCAATTTTTATGAATCTTTTGTAGAGAACAGTGAAACCTCAACACACGGTGTGTTTATTTTTCAAGAGCATGTAACATGTTGTCTTTTTTAATGTTTTGAAAGATATTAAAATCAAGTCAAACTGTATTTCTATAGCAAATACAAAATAACCAAAAGTGAGAATCGATATTGCCCTGATATCATCACTGTGGAATACTTATGTTATATCGTGACAGCCTTAATCTGAAGTGGTCGTCTAGTAAAAATTCTGATCAAAGTATTTGGGATTCATCCTTGGATGTCTTTGAATAACTATCAGATTGTGTGGCGATCCATCCATTAGCTGCTGAGAGACTTCACTATGGCTCACTAAAGTCACAGTGTCAGCAGAACCACTTGGGTTTGCTGGTCGCAGCTGAAGGCTCAAGCTTTGTTTGTTGGCTCACCCTTGTCCTTTCCTCCTGCTGTGTTTCAGAGCAAGGACATTGGGATCCAGATGCACGAGGAGCTGGTGAAGGTGACGAATGAACTCTACACTGTAAGTAACACACGTGTCTCCTCCTGATTGATCACTCACTTTATCGCGGCACAAAGCTCATCCAGGTATTATTGCTCTCTCTGTCTTTCTCACATTTTATTTCACGTCTCTCTTTTTCTGTTCTCTTTTATTACCTTGCTTTGCATGTTATGAACTATTTCTTGAATGAATGAGTATTTTCTTTTCAACATTAGACTTTGGCTTGGGTGAGCCTACCAAGTAAAGCAAATACGAGGCCCACTGTCACGGCCAATATGGCTATGTTTAGCTCTGGAAGCACCAGTACCAAGAGTATCTTTAGATTAAGTCTCATTAAAACACCACTGCCATCAGACCACCTATTTGTGATATATACCAAGTTTACAGTTTATTAGGTACAACTAACTGAAATGAATGCAGACAAATGTAACTGCCTTTAAATAAATCTTAAGTGTGCAACCTCATGGTCATTTTGAAGCATGTCATTTGTGGTGCTGTCACACTCTTTTCTGTTAAACTGAGAGGAGAAGCTCATGAGAGAGTTTTACATAAGATATTTGAAAGGGACTTCTTATAAAGATAGTTTGTTTAAATGTACTCTATAGCTGCTGAGCACACAGGGGGTTAGGATGATGATTTATGTTGTTAAGTGAGAGAATGATAGAGGCTGTTGTAAATGATGAAATGGAACATTACTTTCTCTCCAAGTTGGACAGTTTCTGGGCTTTGAGTCACTTCAACATCTGGTGGGTTCTTCAGCTCTAGTCCTGTTAAAGGGTCAGATGACTGGTTGTGTCTATGGAGGCCTGTGAAATACCTGCATGCCTTAATACATGAAGGTATCGTCCTGTCAGAGTGTGTTTGCAGTTATTATTCATTTTAGGTCACCTGCTATAGCTCTGCTGCTTTGTTGCATTGGATGTCACCACTATGCTTTCCTCTTCGGAGAGTTACTATAGGGAGAAGTTTCTTTACTGGTACAATTTGTTTTCTTTATTTTTTGGTTAAATCTCCTTCCGCTTCATTTTGAGATGGAGAAAAAAACATCAGCACAACACAGCAGATTTTTTTTTCTCAGATTTCTCGCAGCCCAAATAGCCTTTTCCCTTATTTTCAGCAATAACTCTCAGGCATCCTGCAGCTGCTGCCCATACATTTTAATATACAAAAATAGCGGATTGAATGTATGTATGGATGATTCCCGTCATGCTTTATAACCAAGATGTTTGGTTTTCAAAACATCTACAGTATATAACACTTTTAGAGGGCAGTATTTAAAGGCAGCATGTCTCCCAACCCACATTTTCTCAGTTGGGTTTTTTAATGGAAAAGCAGCATCATTGTATCCCCGATTTATTTTTACTTTCTGAAACTATTTCTAAAACCCTTCAAAATGTTCTATTTAACACTAATTCAAAACTGAATTGTTAATAATGGGATTTCCTGCAGTAAGCCTTGCAGATAGATGAACATATGTTGGGAATTAGGACATAATGTACTGGTGCTGGTAGGATGAGTAGGAAGGAGGGTTCATGCCCACTTACTGGACAAACCCCAGGCAACTTCAGCAATCTTCTGCTCCCTGAGGTGAAACACAAGAGATGGCATGGCTGCTTTATATTACTAAATCATCTTAGCAATGTAAGGAGAGTTTAACTGTTAAAGGCCACTGATGGCAATTCTTCCCGAGCTTGCAATCTGTACATTTTGAAGTTGCAATAGGTAAGTGTTATGGACAGCCAGGTATAATAATATAAAGGTATAAATACCGAGGTTGCTATACTTGACTTTATGTCTTAACTGTATATCAATTATAAAATGCAAGTATTGTTTCTGAAGGCTACGTCTGACAGAAAGTTTGGTTTAGGGTTTCAGGTTTATGAAATCCTGTGGAAATATATTGTTATTATTCACCTTTTTATACTTTTTTAAAATGTCTGTTTCACCCATTCTGCCCTCTCCGGCTCCGGCTGAGGACGATGCTGCATAATGAAACTCAGATGGTCCCTCTTATCATGCTATACTTGGCCTCAGCCGCAATCTGGCTGAAAATTAAAAATCTAAAATTCTCTCTGAACATGAGGATTGTGTGAATTGTGGGAATCTTCACAGCTAAGAAAAGAAAATGATGATGGTTGCAACAACACAAAAATCACTTCCTCAAATTACAAGCTTCAGGTTGGACAAAAAAGCACCAACTGTACATTTTGACACTTTCTCAGACTTTTATTCCGTTTATTAACTTCTGTTTTTAAGCATTAGTTTCCATCATAACCTCTGACAAGGTTTAACAATGCACAGGCGGCAGAAAAGTTATTTCACAAATGACCCTCAGGCAGCAGTGACATTCATTGTCTGAGGGGAATGAAGGATTGTTTTTCATGACTTCAACCTTGTTAGTATTTGTGCAGAAATAGCTGAATCAATAGCCTGGCCTCATGGTGGTTGCCTTGTGGTATTTTGTAATTGTTTTCACAGGCTGCCAACCAATTCTATTCAAGGAAAACTGTGAAGTCCCATTAGGATCCCAGTCTGCTCAGTGAGAGGTAAACTGTGGGCTGAAGCTATTGTTCAAACGTAGATTAAAGTATGGCGCTGTAGCGTGAGTATTCTTGAAATTGCAGAGCATGTTTTCATTGTTTCGGCTTGTCAATAATAGCAAACCTGAGATGAGAAATAGGAGCTAAAGCCCGTCACTTCCTGCTTCCAGCAACATATATCAATGTGAAATTCAGTTTTCTTAGCTTGAAGCTGTTTTAATTTCCTGCTACACTGCCTTAATATCCTCACTGGGATCAATAAAGCTTATCTTATCTTTCTGGTCCCCCACCTTGTGTTGGTTGTTTGCTCCTCAGTCTTATACACGCTTTTTCTTTTGTTAATAACAATATCAACAACCTCTCTCTAAGGGCTGGTGCTGGTTAAATGCATTAATTTAGTCAGTTGTACTTAATTCCTCAGGGATATATTTAACAACATTTACTCACACCATGTTAGTGCTGAAAAAAACACAAAATGTTTGAAGCTGTTGCATATTTGGGAAAAACAACATCACAGATGTATTTGATGCATTGTTGGTCTCTTCTTACATTTACGTTTTCCAATTGTTTTCATCCTTGCTAATGCTTCACGATATAGGCTACTATAGGCCTACAGATTATGTTGTGACATTTGGAAATCACCTTGTTGCATCTCGCTTTTTTCAAATATTAATCTTAATGTATCGGTCAGTTTTTTATATTTAAGTTGCATATTTGTACATGACATTGTTAAAATACAAACCCTTTTTAATTAAGTGTAATTAAGAGAGAAGAATACAAATAAGGAAAGACAACAAAGGTCCAGTCAAACGCAAACGAGCGAATTAGTGATTACTCATGGACTTCCCTAGAATATTTGGATATCAGTAAAATAGAAGTAGGCCTATGTGCTTTTTGCGGCGTGTGAGGCTCAGGTTTGGGAATGCTAAATAACTGTTTTTACCTGACGCTGCCCGCCTCCTGCGCGTCTATAGAAAAGAGATCAACTCAGTGAAAGCACCGCCTGCTGACCAATCAGAGCTCAGTGTGCGGAGTTTAAATCTATCAAGTCATATCAGATATCACAGGATAAAGGAAATACAGTTTAAACTGCCTTATGCAGAGAAGACGCCGACGTGTCGCACTTTATCATTCATATAATATCATAATATATCACATTTCCTTATGAGTCAGCTTCTCGAGCCGTATCTGGCCGTGCATCACCTACATTGTCACATACTGTATGCAGAAGTATTATTTTAAGCAACACATTAAGTTGACTAAATACTCAACTCAAATGTAATTAAAGTCAGATCCACTCGTGTCTTAAATGGGGCAGTGATATCATAAAACTGTTGTACGCTTTCAAACACTCTGTAGTTATTTTTTAACCAGTTTTTCTATATTCACCTTGCAGGTGCAACTATGTGGCTTGTATCCTGGNGTTTAAAGTTCATATTTATCTAATATTAGTTTACTTTTCATTAATGAAGTATGACGCTGCGTTGTCCCTATTTGTGATTGGTCAAAATGTGCTAACCCCGCCCCTTTCACGTGAACGCGCTCTCAGCTGGAGAGAGAAACCCTGGCTTGATTTACCGACTAACCAGCGTCGTAGGACCGCTTAGCGAGATCTCGTTTGTTAGGGTTAGTTTAGATAACTCAAAGATATCTAGGGTCTGTTGAACTGGCTTCGTAGTACAGGGCACAGGTGGCTGCATAGCAGCGCTAATGTCAAAGACACTAAACATTATATTTGTATTTTACCAGGATGCAGTGAAACACATATTTGGGAAGGCTTAGCCTTCCCTACAGTACCCGCCGCCCCTGCTTGCATTCATTATGAAAAACTCCAGGCATCCTTTCACTGTTGGGTCTCTTTTACCAGCTCACAGACTGCAGGAGTTAAATAGCCCTAAGCAGATGACTCAACTATTCACACACCTCCTGTAGACACAGCTGAAGCTCAGTCTTCCTGCAAATGAGTTTGTGTCTCTAGCTGCCGGTCCTGTAGTCAGATGGTTCAATGTAAATGCAGCACATTTTAAGAGAAATGTAAAAGAAACGGTGCTAAAGCCTGGGGAGGAACAGGGTGTTAGCCTAGTTTCTCTCTTGGCGGAGTAGCAACAACGATGTTGAGCTTTGTCTCTCTCAGAATAGACCACTGGCTTTCATTTTATCTATTTATTTTACTTTCAGGTGTTTGCCTAGCAGCTCTTTGTCACTCTGTTGTTCTTGTTTTTCTAAGATTTCCTGCACTGCCTGGAGAGGAAAACTATTTATTCACACATGACACAAAGGGGAATAAATAGAGCCTCTTAAAGTGGCAGCACTGATAAATATACTGTCGCAGGGTTGCAGGTCTGTGGAAGATTATAGTTGTGACGGCAAACACCTGATGTTGATGAGTAGCTCTCAGAGTTAAAAGGAACCCCACTGCTTAAGTTTAGCACCAAGTGAGCATTACTTACTTGAACACAGGAAACACATAAATTACTGTTTATGTTGACTGTCCAACATCCTGAGGTGTTCAATGAGATTTCTGAATGTTTGAGGCATTTGAAGACGTGCTCACATCTGGACAGTCCTTTACGAGGCTTAAGACTGGGCTTCCAAAAGGAAAAACTCGCAATGAGCATCTGGGATGGGTTAAAGACGCACGGTGCTTCTGTTTTCTATAATGAAGGTTTTCAGTCACCACAGTCTTGTCATCATAATGTTGGAGTGTGGTAGGGGGGCTGAATTTCACGTTCAGTGTGTACGTAGAGATCAAAGTGGAGAGGTAACTGCAGAGAAAACCGAAAATACTACTGTCACTTTGCTGCACACAAAAAAGATGAAGATGAAGAACTCTGTTGTGAAGATGAGTTGCAGTAGGTATGATGTAGAGGCTCTGGAATGCCAGAGTGAGGAGGGGATGAGGTGGTGAGTTGAAGATTTGACAGCCAAGGCTTCACCACACACAGCCCTGGGCCCTTGGATTAACTTAAAATATTCCACATGTAGTGACATCTGTGTTAGCGCTGCATCGACGCCCAAATTGATCCACCAGGCCACCATGAAAACGCTCAAGCCAAGCCAGTTTTTTAAAGGAAATGACACTAGACGTGGAAAATATGATCTTTTATTTGTATCTCCTTATGTTGGTTGCATGCTGAAGGGAATATGGCATTATTAACACAAACAGTAATGCTGTTGTTACTCAATTAGGGCGCTTTGTCCTGGAAAGAAACAATATATTCTTTATATTGAAGTATATTCTTAATGTTTCTGTTGGTTTCAGTTGTTACACAGATTAAGGACTTAATACTGGTGTTGGCTTTCTTCTTATGATTTCAGCAATCAAACCCTTCTTCTGTGCACATATCCCGAGTCTATACTTATTTATTAACTTATATTAGTGTTTGTTTTACCAGTGAAATAAAATCACATTCTGAATTTGTTTAGAGCCCCTGGTGATGTCTTCAATTAACCTGTTTTGTCTGATTAACTGTTCAAAACCCAAATCTTATAACGTCATACTATATATGAGAAATAAAAGCCATAAATACTTACATTTGATGAGTAGAAACCCAAGAACGTTTGGAATTTCTGATTGAAAAATGACTGAAATGATGAATAGATTATCAAAATAGTTCCCAATGTATTAATGTTCAATTCGACTTATCAGCATTACTTTATTGTTGCAGCTCTTTTTTTGATATACAGCATTGATTTCAATGTACCACACTAAGCAATTGTTTCCCGTACAGTATTTTCACTTTTCTCAGCCTGTGGGCTACTCAATGTACTTTTTTAAAACCAATATGTCCTCTGATTATGTCTGAAAGGGGACCTATAATGCAAAATGCACTTTGTGATGTCTTTTAGACATACATATATGTCCCCGGTGCGTCGGGGAACTCACGCAGCGTCAGAAAATAAAACCCTCTCTCTTTCCCTCCTTACCCAAATCTTTTTAAAACGGGTGTACAACAAGCGGATACAGATTCCATCCGAACTGACGTCAAATCGGCAGCGGACCAACAGAAAGTTGCTATCAGAAACAATGCCTGACGTGTTTTGGACGTCTATTTGTTTACATTAGCAAGCCTCGCTAACACTCAGAGCTAACCTGTACTGAAGAGCAGTGTTTAAAAAGCAGGACATAAAAAAAGAACTCACCTTGTGATAAACCCGCAAGAGAAAANCATTGGCAAGCCTCGCTAACACTCAGAGCTAACCTGTCCTGAAGAGCAGTGTTTAAAAAGCAGGACATAAAAAAAGAACTCACCTTGTGATAAACCCGCAAGAGAAAAAGCCTTTGAGATCCATACTATTTCAGAAATAATCATTGACGTGGTTTAAACAGGATGGCGTTTTATCACAGCAGAATTTAACTTTATCTCCGGTAGAATTCTGATCAGGCATTAGCTCCGCCCCCTCTTCTTTTCTTTTTTTCAAGCTAAGGACCCAAGATCCGCGTTTCTCTAACAGGGCTTCAAAAGAGGGGTTTGAGCAGTATGAGGCATGGCTACAATGGGTGGTCTGTTTGGTATTTTGAAAAAAAAACTTCACAGACATATTTTGTATAGGTATGGCCCTACAACATATGTTTCAAATATAGCATGATAGGTCCACTTTAAGCTAACATGCAAACTGACTGCAACTGAAAAGCATCTGTTATTAATGTGATGATCATCAGCCCTGTTATTGGTCAATCTGAATGTCTGTTATCCTCCTGCTGCAGGTGATGAAAACATACCACATGTACCACACTGAGAGCATCAGTGCAGAGAGCAAGCTGAAGGATGCTGAGAAGCAGGAGGAGAAGCAGTTCAGCAAGTCCGGAGATCTCAACGTTAACCTCCTGCGCCACGAGGACCGCCAACCAAGACGCAGCTTTGTCAGGAAAATAGAAAAAATAAAAGAGAAGGTGAGTCTAAGGGATGTTAAGGTTTTCGTTAATTCAGCTTCAATTTTAAAATACTGAACCATTAAATGGGTATTTAATTGAAATGTGAAAGGGGGAACCCACAGGGAATTAACAGTGAATCTGCAGTTTCTCTCAGCTTGGTTATGTTCGCTAATTGTTTGGTTTTCAGGCCCTTAACACTGTCACTACTCTCATACTGTCATTTTTGGCCAAAGCAGGCAGCTGTATTGATAAAAGAGTCAGATATTGCCCTCAGGAGTTAGTAAAGGCCTAGAGCAGAGCTAACTGGAGAGTGAATATGGGAATTGCATTTGCCAAGTGGTCAGAAACTGGACAGAGGATGAATGACAATGTTGCACCATGTCTGCTGGAACATGCTAACAAGTTGAGCATATCAACTTTAAGTATGTAAATATGTAAGTGTTATTTTAGTTTGTTGCATGTTAAGCAGCTCCTTCTCAAAGCCAAATTAGTAGGTGTGAGGACTTTACTTCTGTAAATGGAGCTCTTTCTTATGGCCCCTACACACGGCGGCGTGCGTTGACGCTTGCCGGCGAGCATGTCTGAAGCTAGACCAACAACCAATCACCTGAATCTCCCGCCCCGGACACACAAGCAACGGTTTGATTGGCTAGAGCTTGTACTGGCATATGATTCGATTGGCTGACGCTTCCGTCGAAGCTTCAAAAGTAGAACATTGCTCTACTTTTGAAGCGAACAAAGCTATGCTTTGCTCCCACAATGCAGTTCGGCAAAGCGTGACGTCACCCCATTCAAAGTGAATGGGCAGAAGCGTTGAAGCAGAAGCGTTGAAGCAGAAGCGTTGAAGCGTCCACGCGTGCCGCCGTGTGTAGGGGCCGTTAAGGTTATTTGGACAGAGTGAGTGGAGGATACGTCACGAACAGGCAGCAATAACATTTCAGAAAGTCTCAGTAGGATCCTGAAGGACTGCAGCCAGATACACACTGAGAAAATAGCAGCAAACAATCCAACTGTCTTTTCATCTTATGGAGATTTCCACTTGTTTAAAATCTTCTCTTCCAGTAGTGTAAGGCTGGTGGCCTCTGGAGCATAATGTACTTCAGATGCTCCGATGCATGTTTTACTTTGGATCTTCTCCCAGAATTTTTCTATGCAAATGAAGCCCCCATCATCTCTCAGGTGCAGGAAATGAAAAGGCTGTCAGGAAGACGGCATCTCTCCCGCCGCAGGCTGAACTGAACACTATTTATAATGCAAAGTGGCAATGAAAGTTGTTTCCTGCTTCTCGTTTCCAAGCTTCTGTCTCAGTACTCTGCCTTCAAACAGGTTAGAGTAGAAATAGCAAGAAATAAAAGTTAATCTATATTCCTCTCAACCACTGCTGACATTTGCATCATAATGGCTCTTTTAAATTGGAAACAAAATGACCATGTGGAATGAAATGAACAAACAAACTATTCAAATAATGGGCAAAATGTCTCTCTCTGCTCAAAAATGATTATGCTTGTGTTGTATTACAAACTACAGTATTGCCTTTCTGAGTCACTAAATTGTTGAGTTGCTAAAGGGAAACTACTTTGTCAAAACTGTTAAGCACACATTTGCAAAATCAATATGTTTTGTTCTATTCAGAGCAATAGTTACTTAATGGAAAATGCTGTCATTTGTCCTTATTCTAGATAACAAGAGAAGTACAATTGTGCAAATGCATTTCTAAATTCAAACTAGAGATACAGTCCCACATTTAGCCAACCATAAATTAAGAGTTAGAGTTGAAGAAACAAATTGTGCTAACCGGCAGATGGTTACCTTAAGCCTATCATAAAGAGGGGAGGGGTTTAACTAGCATGAGTCCAAACACAATATTGTTGTTTTTACAATTGTTTTTTTCTGACATGTTAATAACTGAATGTTTGAGAAGTTGGTAGCTGGATTCTATTACCATTAAAAAAAAAAGGCAGGCTAGCTGTTTCACTCTCTTTATGAAAGCTAAGCTAATCAGCTGCTGGCCCCAGCTTCATTTCACTTAGTGAAGCCAGAGTCTCTTTAAGTGCTCCTCTGTGAGCATCCACAGTCTGCAGTCTGTGCTACTTAAGTGTTTGGAGACGGAATAATGACTAAAAGCCTGGCTGTGGCACTTAACACTTACTATCTAGAGGGACTTTCTCCACAGCCTGTTTCTCCAAACTTTCCCTGCCATCTCTACCTGTCTGATGGTCCCAAAGATGCAGCTGACTGAGCACACACTCAAACCCCCCCCCCCTTCCTACACTGATGTTCTGTCTTCTCATCTGCTCCGTCTCTTCTCTCCTCCCCAGAGGCAAGCAAAGTATTCCGAGAACAAGCTGAAATGCACAAAAGCCCGGAATGACTATTTGTTGAACCTCGCAGCAACAAATGCTGTTGTGGCGAAATATTACATCCATGACGTCTCTGATATGATTGATGTAAGTATGCGCTGGGCACATGTGTTTGTTTACATCTCTCAGCTGGGATTTCTAATGTTGATTTAACTCTGCAGCCCTGTCGCTTTTCTCACCATCTGTTCCTGAGTCTCATTCGCTCTCAGCCTGTTAGCTGTTTGTTTTCAAGCTGCTCTGTCGCCCCACTGAATGTTATGCCATCATTTTTTCATTATTAAGTTCTGCAAAACAAACTAAACACCGACTGACTGCTGTTTCTCATGAATATTAGTTCAGCAATCTGCAGTAACACACAGCTCCAGGAAGATTATATTTGACAAATTATTTCGAGGGACTCCATCAGTGTTGACACCTTCGTCTCATACTCATTCATTTATTTTTGTCGATGCTGCTTTCGGGAGCTTTGCCGGGACAAACACAGCATGTCCTTGTGATTGTCTGCCTCTGATTGTCACCAAGTAAAAAACACGGCCCATGACACACGCAGTCTGTCTCTATTATTTGGCCTTCTGTTGTCTCTCCTTTCATGGATCAGAGTAGAGGAACAGCCTTTGTAACTATGACACTATAATATTCCCTTCAATATAACTTTCAATAATGTCCCCATTTGTGTTTGTCCAGAGAACCTATAAATAAATGAAGTCACTATTATTCAAATGATGAACCAGTGGCACAGCTGGAAGGTCTGATTACCAGGATTTAATAGGGTGAATGTTGAGAAAACCACTAATGGTTGGAAGTCGATCAGAGTCAGCTGGTGAGCAGAGGCTGTGTTAATGCAGCCATGAATGCGGTTAATGTGGCTGGCACAGAGCTCTCAGCCCCAGGTGACCTGCTACCCTGCCGACAAACAGATGAACATTAAGATGGGAAAGCCTTTATTGACCATTTACATTTTTTTAACATTCTGTATTTATTTTTTTCGTGCACATATCTCTCTTCAGGGAGGTTGGACTTTGGGACTTAATTTGCTATTTAATCCTATTCTCAATACATACAGTATGTTGTCTGCTTTTGTTGTGCAACAAAAAAGGGCACCCACTGTTGACTGCTTTCTATTGAGTTTTTCCCATCCCAAACTGATGTTTTCCTTATTTACTGTTTGGGTTGTGCTGCTAGCTATTGTAGACGCTGTAATTGGATTTGTTAGTTGTGAAGCAAATTCGTTTTTTTATAAAATTACATTTTCTGTGTTATTTTCCACATGAAGACAATCTTTCATATCAGGCCTATGTCGCAGAGTTTAAATGACACATGGCAGTATGTGTGGGCTTTGTTGCTGACAATACCAAACACAACACTAAGATTTCTATCAATATAAACCTTTCAGCCCTTTAATGTTTCCCGCCTGGTTCTCACATTTTTGCTTGAGGGCCAACCACCATACGGAGTCACAATGATGACATTTTCCAGGTCAGGCATGATAAGATATGATTTTAGTGAGAATTCTACATTTTAATGAACGCTATTCGAAACAAATTGCAGTTGAAATAGGATGGAGAGTATGTCTCTGATGTATGCAGTGTGATGGTGGTATGTTGTTTTGTAAGTGGACATACAAAGATTTCCCTGCCTCTTTGCTGAGCAGCTGTGATGGATCCAGTCTCTTGAAACTGAAAGGTCCATGTCGTTCCAAATCCTGCTGAGCTGCAGGGAATAGGATTGTGAGCTTGACTGGTTTGGCTGCCACAAGCGGTGCAGAGGTTTGTCGTGTCAGAGTAACTGCACACCACACATCAAACCAGACGCTCACGCAGCAAGAAGTCAGATTTGTCAGTCAGCATCAGAGACTTTTAAACTGTTAAAGTGTAATTTGGACAACATGTGGAGCTTATTCTTTACTGCCGGGAGCTGATGAATGCTGTGAAGAGGGAGTTTGGTCAGTGGTGTCAGCTTGATACATTATTTAAAATTCTGCTTGGAAATAAGCTTAACATGACTTTAATTACCTCCATTGAGAAATGTAATTCTTGCAGCACCATGAGGTAGACTAAGGTATACAGCAACGAAAAAAGAACAACACAATAATTCAGTACATTTTGGTTTTGCATGCATATCATCTATTGTGGGGCCAACTGTCCAACTGCGTTTAAATGTAGTAATTGTATCATGTTTGAGTTTTTTTTGCTGAGGGTGAAATAACTTGTATATAACTTTATTAACCAAATTAGAGACAGCCCTTAATTTAAACATGAATAAGAAGCATGTTAAACAAATGACACATATTTGCAAGTAATAACATGCAGCCAGAATATAATATGTTTGCATAGCTCTAATGAGAAAGAAAAGACATATTAAAAAAAAAAAGGAAATTGGTCAACAGTATTTTGATTCAAGAGTGCATCTAATCTCCCCGCTTCCTTCAGGCAGCCACTGCAGTTATGAATGTGTTTTGACAAATTGTACTTGTTTAAAAGAAGCTAATTGGCTGCCTTTAGTCTTTAGTCTATTGACTGAGTGGTGCAATGATGCTTGTGCACCAAAGTAGAGAGACTTCTTCCTCGGTCCTCTGGAGTGTTAAAGAGTGTTTACTTAGTCATTCACAGAGCTGTCAGCTGCCTCAAGCTCGCTCTGAACCTCCTCACTACCATCTTCTGCCTAATGAGGTTACTTCATCCAGCTCTGTGTGATAAGACTCTGTAATTATCCCTACTGTCCTACTGTGCTAGCTCCTGTAATTCTGTGAACTCTACTTCTATTTTAGAACGGTAACAAGTAGCAGGATGTAATTTGGAATTTAGTTCATTAAATAGGTCTGAACATGATGGAAAGTGCTCAAGCTAACATACTTTTCAACTTAACCTGTGCACATTCTTCCACATTCCCTGAAATATTTATAACGATTTTTGCTTTATCTCCACAGTGCTGTGACCTGGGCTACCATGCTAGCCTTGCACGCACTCTCAGGACCTACTTATCTGCCGAGTACAACTTGGAGACATCACGCCATGAGGGACTGGATATCATAGAGAATGCGGTGGACAACCTGGATAACCGCAGTGACAAGCACAAGATCATGGATATGCATAACCAGGTGTTCTGCCCTCCAATGCGCTTTGACTACCTGCCACACATGGGAGATGAGGTGAGATTCTTTAGCCATCAGGCTGCACAAAAAAGGGTCAACAATGTAACACATAAACATCAAATATACACTGTTTTTCACAATAACTTTACCGGCACACGTATGTACATGTAAATATATTGAATATGTATATATGGCCCAAATATGTATATAATTATGTTCATTTAATTTATTTCTTATTTTAAAGTTACTTAACTGTATTTCATTTTAATTTGATCTTTAATTTGATTAATCTTTGATCTTGTGTGAATCTGTGCCGTCCTGTTATACAATCTTACCCTGTTGCTGTTTAAACTGATTAATTTCTCCACGGGGATTAATAAAGGTCAATCTTATCTTATCTTAATATTGACTTTTAAAAAGTGTCTATTCAGGTCTCAGATGGATCAGTTATGTCTCTTGTAACCCTCCTCTTCCTCCTCAGGTGTGCCAGGTGAGCGCCCAGCAGCCGGTCCAGACTGAACTCCTAATGCGCTACCACCAGCTGCAGTCTCGCTTAACTACGCTGAAGATTGAGAATGAGGAGGTGAGGATTTATGATGTCCCTGTGTTTGTCCAGCGTCCAATCCAGCACTTCCTTCAGCCCCACCCCCCAAAAAACAAAAAAGCCCAGCTCATTTCCCCCAGAGCCAAGTAGGAGGGCCACATCACCATCTGTTCTCTTTGCAATTACTCTCCAATGACCTTTGCTCTGCGGGAGGCAAGAATATATTAAGATCATCACAGCACCAATGTTATGTTTTCTATGAAGTTATATATAAAACTGTCTGTTTTGTAATGAAAATGGGACTTTTTCATTAAAAGCCGCAGAGACAAATATGCAAATGGATGTTATAATAACCTGGCCATGTAGAGTCTTCTGTGCCAATGGCTCTGCCTCTTCCCTGTCTCCCCGTGTTTTGTGCTTCGGAGGATAATGGACGAGCGCTGCCATTACTGTGAATGAGCTTTATCAATCTCAGCCCTAAACAAAAAGCCTCCTTCAGTAATTTCACATACAATTTGTTTCTGTGCCAGGCACGCTTCATTTTTATGTCTTAGTCTGATGTATGCCTGATGTGCAGGTTGCTCTGGAGTGATATTTGAAGGCTGCTTGATGTCATTTCAGTGTAATTCAAGGTCATTTGTTGTTCTGGGGACAATTTGTCTTTGATATAAATATGCTAGTGCTGTAAATCACTCACTCTTGCCCTTGAAAGGATCATCAGTTTCTTTGGTTCCATCAAGGCTTGTGAATAAATAGCTACAAAAAGGGAAATATGAGCAAGACATATTGGTAAGATATGATGACCATTTGTCATCTTCGTCCCTTTCTATTTCCCCCCCATCTGTGCAGGTGAGAAAGACCTTGGATGCCACCATGCAGACGCTGCAGGACATGCTGACGGTAGAGGACTTTGACGTGTCGGATGCCTTCCAACACAGCCGCTCCACTGAATCCATTAAGTCCGTGGCCTCCGAGTCCTACATGAGCAAGCTGAATGTAGCCAAGAGGAGGTCGAACCAACACGAGACTGAAATGTTTTACTTTTCTGTGAGTTCAAGTGGATTTCGATCTGTTTATCCTTCCGAACTGTTAATGTCCGCCGGCCTGCTATGAACTACAGCTTTGCGGCACTTTTAAAAATCAAGCCATCAGTCATCATTTCAACATGTTTAAAAATAGGAATTAAATTAAAGCTGGAACAGATTGAATTTATGCTGAATTGAATTGTTTAACTGGGCTAATGTAACACTGGATTAGTGCTGCTCGCTGATTGTTGCCTTTATCGGTCTCTGCAGAAATTCAAGGAGTACCTCAACGGCAGTAACCTCATCATTAAGTTGCAGGCCAAGCATGACTTACTGAAGCAGACGCTGGGCGAAGGTAGGGAATATTCTCCATTTGTCTTCCTCTATGACCCTCAGAATCACACAGCTCTGTTAAATCAATGCCTTCAGGGTTATAGTGGTGCAGGTCTTATCTAAACATCAGCAGGGAATGAGGTGTGGGAGGCTTCAAAGACAACATTTTTTAGGGAAGCAGGAAGGAGAGAGGAAATGAGAGCTGATATTCAAATGGGAAACTATCACACCAAAAGCAGGCTACATCTACTTTGAGCTATCCATTCCCCCTTCTACTTATCTCCATTGGTTGAAGTATTATCCGGTTAGTGTCTTGATGGTAAAGCCGCAGGGAGGGTTTCCATTTCCAGCCTCTGAGAGAAGGGCTTCCCTTGGCCCCTCCCTTCCCCAGGGGTCCCCTTGTCACCTCAGCCGTGAACAGTTTACGCCCAATCAATCAGCAGGACCAAACCCAGGCCCGTTTCTGCAGCTGCTCCTGCATCAGGGGTTCACCTTATAGAAAAGGGCATCAGGCACAGACAGCTGAGGCCTTGTGACACTAATGAATACTTCTACATTTCACACCTTGGATTAATGAATTCAAGTCTTTACTTAATTATTTATTTTCCTTTATTCACTCTGTAGTAAACTACCAACTGAATGCTTTTTGCACTCGTAAAACTCACATTATAAATCTCTGGACAGCTCTATTTGTATGTCCGCAGTGGAGCAGGTGATAGAGTGCATAAACAAGGCATATGGCGTCTCTAGGTACCACCCATGTTTAATTATTCAGATGATCAATCAGGGTTGTGTTGTGCTCATTAGCTTGTCGTTTCACACCCAAAATAGCGTTAGAGTATGCGTGTGGTTGTTTGTGAGCATGACAGAGGGAACAAGATATGACTGGTGAGTGCCACATGGCGTTCACATCTTGCTGCATGTATTAATAAAAACATTATATAAATCACTGGCACCAGTCAAGATGGGGCTAGGATATATGCCAGGCCTTGTTTCCAAATAAGGAATCACCATTTCCCTTTGTTCAGCGACATTTATTTGTACATATTTTAAGTTTATATAATACGTATTTCTCTATCATTGAGGCACTTTATTTGATGAAATTAGGGGAAAATCAACATAGACTTTTTGGATCATGCTTGAGAAAATGTGTGTGTAATTTTGAGGTTGGTTGGCCAGACGTAGACAGAGGCTATCACTCAAAGGAATGGTGCCTGGGAAATGTGCTGTTGTTTCTCCACATGAATGCTTCAGAGACCCTGTCCCATCTGCCAGAATGATGTGTTGAGAAATGGGTTCGCCTTTGCTCTTTCTGTCCATTGGTAGATGGATAAGAGATGAAATTATGTTGGAGTGCTTTTTTGTACATTGACTGCCTTCCAGTTCATAATCCAGTTGTCACTGCCGGACAAAGACACACTCCTACTCTGAGTTCATAAAGACAAGCTAGGTCATCTTTCAATTAACCTAAGACCAAAGGACTGTGTTATCAGTTGAAACATATTTTTGACATATTCCTAAATAAGTGAAGAACAATATAGCTGGATTTAATTATGACCTCAGACTGTATCAGAGTTTTCTCTATACATATGCCTATAACATGTGCGTGTATTGTTGGAAACTGATAACAAAAGACTCGGTGAACCAGTGCAGACTTCCCCAACAAATAGACACTGCAGCCGCAACCCCCCCTTTCCTTCGCTCTGCGAGGAGGCCTCTAACCCCACAGGGTCCTCTCGGTCCCCTGTGGATTCAGCGACGACTGCTCAATAGCTTTGTCCAATGAATGGTGTTAGCACTGCTCCATTCATCTCTCTCTCAATAGTCATGTTGTGTACCATCAAACCATTCAGTGACAGTGGACACTGGAGTCTGTATAATATGTACCACAGTGACAAACATGTCCCTCTTGTCTTGTTTTTTCCACAGGGGAAAGGGCTGAGTGTGGAACTACAAGGTATGGTGTCCTTTGCCTTTCACTCACACAGCATCTGTAGCATTTCTTCAGATAGCTAGAACATATAAGAAAGGAAGACAAAAGCTTGTCAGCTGTTGTTTGAACACTCCAATCGATATACACATATTTAAATAATTATATAAATAATTTAAAAACATCAATAATTATAATTTTTTTAAATATTTAACTAAATCTAATAGCAACATTGCAGTCAATACATATCAAGCAACATCTCCAAACAAAGGCCATGCTCAGTTTGTTTACAGACAAAAAAATAAAAAAATAATTTTACTTTCACTTTAAAAAAATGACATGTTTGCTTATACATCAACATAATGCTATTGTGGTTCCAAAAACGTCACACTGAATTTTTCAAAAGAAAGAAAGAGAGTTTACATATGCCCTCATGATTTTATACTGGTTAAATCTCTAGTAAAAGCTAAAAAGCGATTGTTTTTCAAAAGTTTCTTACCTTTCTTTCACTAATTTCATAAAACAGAGGGTTGTTTTACTGCTCTGTTTGAGTGACGGTTTTGGAGATTTGTAATACCTGAGTTTGAACCTCCATGGTTTTAAAGTTTTTCACAAAGTATTTGGTGTTTTTGTACCCTTTGTCCACCATTTCACAGGCCGCCCACACTTCCCCCTAAACCACAGAAATTGCGGAAGCCTAGGCCACGCTCTTCGTATAACCATAAGCTGTTTAACGGCAATATGGAGACCTTCATTGAGGTACCTCTGGTGGTAGTGTATGACTGTGGAGCAGGAGGGGAAGGCAGCAAGATGATTTCATCTTATTCTCTTCCTAACTTTGGCCTTATATCCCTCCCTCTTCCAGCTGCCCTTGATTATGATATAACGCCTCTGTTTAACCTCTAATCCTCCTCGTTCCTTCATGGTTGTGGCAATGCAGCGACAGTCAGCTCTCTCTTTATTCCCTTCCAGAACAACTCACCATCTCATACTTTATTTCTAGACCCCTGACTCTCTCTAGACGATTGAGAGGCAGCAGTGGATCTGCTCTGCCCCTCACTGCACCCACCAACCCTTTACTGCATCTCTGTAGCTTTCCTATTGCCGCTCGCTGTGCTTAGCCTTCTTTAACCTCCAGAGGGGTCATTTGTTATCTGAGCTTTTCTAACTCTTTGCTTCTCTGCCCTCTCTTCCTCTGCTACTCTGTGCTTTGCGGCTTTATGTCCCAGAGGAAGAAGGAATGCCCGCGCCCGCATTCAGGTACCGCTGCTGTTAGAGAGTATAGGTCAGGACACAAGGGCACTAAACTTTTAGACTAATAGTAGATATATATACTGGCTTCTGCTTGGGCTGCTCTATCATACTGCTTCGGGTTTTATTCAAACATTTAATATTAATAACAGTTGCTTGTATTTTGGATATTTATTTTTCTTTGTTTAACAGTGCTCAGGATTTGCTTAATAAATGTTAAACAAGTTTGTGATTAAATGGAGCAAGATACTTGTATATCTTTAATATGAACTAGAACATGGGATTTGTGATTTCCATGCATAGATAAGTGAATATTGTGACATGATTAATTATTCAGTGTCTAAATATAGAACATTCCGAAATCGTACAGTCAAAAAATTGCGCTGTATAAAGTTTTCACAAAATAATATATGTTTTGCTTTACTTTGTCCTGCTTTTTGCTTGTTTTTTTAATTTTGTATACAATATTTCATTTCAGGATTCTGGTCAACCAATCCCACTGGTTGTTGAAAGCTGTGTAAGACACATCAACCTATACGGTGAGTTTTACATTATTTTGCTGTGACTTTACTTTCGAGCGAAAGGGCAGAAAGGAAAGCAAGATATAAAGTCCTCCTTCAGCCTGATAAGAAGTGACAGCAGCTGTTGGATGAGGCAATCTATTTCCACAAATAGGTACAGAGCCTGACCTGCTCTGCACCTCCAGCCTCTGAGGTGCTCAGCTGCCTCCCAGTGAAGTGACAAGCTTATAACAATAGATCACACACAGAGAGTTTTGAAAGTCCCATTGGTCTTGGTTTAGTTATTTCACCCCCCACCCCCCTCAACCCTTTTTATAACTCCTCCCTGTCTACCTTCACATCTGTCTTCAGCTCATTGCTGTGGCCTGGAGGCCTTTCCCCTGGATCTGGACCTAATGAAACTACAGAAAACTGATTAGGAACCCTTTAACTGAAACCATATGCTGCAGCCTCACTAAGGGGCCCTCTGGTGGAAAAATACGCATCTCCCTTTATGACTAGATTACATTTCCTGCTCTGTGTTATGTGTTTCCAGTGGGCTTTCATGAAGCTGGCACTGGGGTTTGAAGATAATGGTAGCTTGCGTAACCCTGAATCCCCAATTTCTGGGTTGTATTTCTTTCAGGCTTGCAGCAGCAAGGCATATTTCGTGTGCCGGGTTCACAGGTGGAAGTCAATGACATTAAGAACTCATTTGAGAGGGGTGAGTCAAAGGAAGACAGCGTTCACATACACTTTTTTAAGGTCACAAATCATGTACAGCATAAACCCATCTAATGTCACAATGAAAGCATGCATATTTTTCCAAATCAGGTGAAGATCCCTTGGTTGATGACCAGAATGACCATGATATCAACTCAGTGGCAGGGGTGCTGAAGCTCTACTTCAGGGGACTGGAGAACCCCATCTTCCCAAAGGAGCGCTTCCTGGACTTCATCTCTACTATCAGTGAGTCACACACAGCAGAACATATTTAAAGCCATTGCCGTCATGATTGTGCCTGGTAAATGGAAAAGAGAAAACACACTTTGCAGAAACTCAGCTTTACTGAAAAAGCAAAAGGCATGCAGGGCAGCACATGGAAGCAATCTCAACACCATTGCCCTTTGCCTGATATTTAACAGAAAGCCAGTAGGAAGAGGAGAGTGTGGGCCGCATCAGTCTGCCGTGTGCGAGTTCACCACAGAATCATTTCCCCGCTGTTTCTACAGTAATAGTTTGATCACACAGTGTGCTTTAGGGGTCTGGTGAAAGGCAGGAGAGGGCAACTATTAAAGTGTCGAATAACAGACTTCTAACTTCCCTGCCTTTTCCTTCTGCTTACTTTGATCAATTCTACATGCTAAGGTTTAGTATGGTCTTTCGGTGTACAGTATTGTAAAAGGCTTGGTACCTACTGTATATATAAAAGTTTAAAAGCTATGTTTGTTTCTTTTATTGCTGTGGAAAGCCTTGTTGTTAACCTTTCTATCCCTTTTTTTGTTTCAGAGCTTGAGACTGGAGCTGAGAGAGCTCATCACATCCAACAGATTACTGTGACGCTTTCCCGCACCATCATCATCGTCATGAGATACCTTTTTGCTTTTCTCAATCAGTAAGTTTGTACAAATTCACATTTTATTTGAATCCACAGGTCCTGGTATGTACAGACAAGCATGTAGATGAGTGTATTGTTGGACAGACATCAGTGCTTAACAGTTAATACATCATAAACTTAACTTACATGTAAATGTACTTAAAAATGGGAAAATCTATTTCAATCAAGAATAGTATTCGAAAATATAGTTGGGAAAATAACACACGTAATTTATTGCTACGTCTGTCTGCAGCGATTTAGGAGTTATTTATGGGCTCGGAAACTCATGTCTCACTGAAGTAGTATACCTGTCCTCTTATAATGGATGTTTTAAATGGTCCTTTTTACTGGGGTTGCCTGCAGAACAAAGAGTTTGATTTGGAACACAAGGTTTTACTCTGCTCTTCTGTACCCCCCTTCACTGCTGGAGCTGTTCCAGCTGTGGTTTTACTGCTCAGCCTCAGCTTGTTGATAATGTGCAAGGACTGATTATGACTTCCTCTTACAGCATTGAATGATTTGGTTACCCATAGTGGGCTGTGGCATGCGCTAGTCATTTCCAGATAGGCGAAGACTGATCAGGGAGATTTTCAAGCACATTTCTAACTAAGCTCTGCAATAAAGCATGTAACACTGTACGTCAAAGCGGAATTTATGTGACACCAAACTCTGACTCTCTATTGGATTTGACTGCTCTATAGTTCTGCTTAAGGCAGGATTGATCACTTAAAGCAACTCTTTTCAGTATTTTTAACAATGGATTACGTGACTGCTTGGATAAAAACAGCGTCTCAGTTTTCCTCAGCTCTCTGTAGCTTTTTTACTGTTATTTGGCTCCCCCTTTCTTTTCTGGTTCAGTCTTGTTTTCGGCCGCAGAAGGCTGTGGTTTTCAGCTAAGAAGACGTACGCAACGTGGCCAGACACAAACACCACATTTAGCAACTATCTGGTGAACATACAGTAGGGGAGCATTTAGCTGCAAAAGAGACAGATATTTCCCTGAACTCTTTTTTAATACCAAAAACCAAACCAAAAAGAGGGGATCTTCAATGTAATTTCTCCAGGTGCCCAAACACATGAACCCAGTTAGATGGTAATGTTGATCTTGGTCTGCTAAATGTATAAAGATACTGTTTACTCATGCATCATAATAAATGTCCTTATTGGGTTTGCTGCTTGTTTGCACTGTCCACAAGTTACCAACAATACATTCATTGTAGCAGGGTAATAATAAGTGCTTTATGATATTGATATACATATTTTAAAAGTAAACAAAAGGATTGCCCAATCACAAAATATAAACTTTCAAATTGATTAACTATAGTCTTCTAACACAGACTACCGATAGAAGGCAACTTCATTTAAACAAACTTTATTTTATGTGATGTTTAAGCTCGCTTTCATCATTCAACACACAATGTTCTCCTCTCCTGTCCACTCAGTCTCTCCCAGTACAGCGACGAGAACATGATGGATCCATACAATTTGGCAATTTGCTTTGGTCCAACCCTGATGCCAATCCCGGACGGATATGATCCTGTATCGTACCAGGCACATGTCAACGAGGTCGTCAAGACCATCATCATGCACCAGGAACTCATCTTTCCCAATCAACGTGAGCTGGACGGCCCCGTCTACGAGAAGTGCATGAGTGGGGGGGAGGAGTACTGGTTAGTACAATTCATTTGAGACTAGATTTCTCTTAGATCTTGAATTATGCTCAGAAAACACATTTTGTCATCTTCCAATGTCTAAGTTGTCTTTTTACTTTCCCTTTGCTCTCACAGTGACAGCCCACACAGTGAACCAGGAACTATTGACGAGGCTGACAATGGAACTGAACCGCACACCAGTGATGAAGGTCAGCATATCATAGTAGCCATTTTGTATCTATTTCCTATGAATGGGCCTCGTTATTACCCAGTTACAGCCAGGGAATGGAAATGTTGGTCTTTGTGGTATAGACTTAACTCTTCAACTTCCGGATGGATTGGACCTCTTGTCCGACCTGTAAGTTGACATTTGTGGTTTGGAGCTAAGTTTTCTATCAAATAGATGGATTTCCATTAAAGTTGGTACAGATATTCAGGTTTTCCTCTAAGAATAAATTGTTACAACTTTGGAGATTAACTGAATTTGCTGGCAATTTGCCATCGTCAGGTCAACAAGCCATGTTTCTGATTTATTCTGTCCAATGTTAGTAGCCATCTGAACTCTAGGTCTTAACTGTGCAGTCAATACCAGTGAATATATTAGGATTATTTGCTCTGATTCTACAGCATTCACTGAGAAGTGTAACCGTTTGTATTACTATACTACTTTGCATACAAAATACAAAAAATAAACAAAGAGAAGTTTGAATCTTTGCAAATAGTCTCACATGTTATTCACAAGAGAATATATATGACCTGATTTTAGAAGCCTTCGTAGATAAGAAAGCAATACAACCTGACCTTTTTTATGAAGTGCTTTTGTCTGAGAGGTGAGTGAGGTTTCTGCTGCAACAGCTTATGATTGCAATGGCTTATGTGATGTTTGAAGCTGGAGGCAAGTTGAGTAAACAGTGTTGGCATGCAGCACTGCCTCTTTGATCCGTCTTTCTGTGTGTGTGAGTCTCTCTCCTCTCTCCTCCCCTGCTCGCTCTTTGTTCAGTGTTAGTCAGCAATTCTCCTGAGACTTTCTCCTTTGTGCGGGATTTACCCAATTCTCCTCTGAGCTTTGAATGCATAACTGGGCCAGGCCCAAAAGCCAAATCAAGGGTAATACACAGAATAATATCTCCTTTGCCGCATGTGAACAGTCAGTGGACTGGTCTAAGAAGTATGGAGTGTGTGAGGTCGGACTGGGGTCACACTATCTTTGAGCTTAGCTTGTGCTGTTGGTTGCTTTTGTATTGAGTGCTGACCCTTGCTTTTTTTTGTGCTCTTATTTGAAAAAGCAATCATGGGCTTCTGTGTTTCACTGTAGTTTCTTTAGCGGTCGATGTCCTTAGCTTTAGTTGTCATGGAAGAAAAAATAAGTTGGTGTCAGATTTAAAACCAAGCAACCACACTCTACCTTTTCTATTTTAATAACTCTCAAACTCATACCAAGTTTGGAAAGAAATACGCTTTTTATCTTCAATCACTGTTCTCTTATACATCTTTGTGCCCAAAAACAAAACTGTGTGTTTAAGATAACTGAATGTTGTCAACTGTACAGTTTACTCTTACTGACCCCTGCTGGCTGGTATGGTGAAATACACTGAAGATAAGAGCTTTCTTTTGTAATATAATCACAAAAATACTAATTTTTTCAGACTTAAATCACTTAAAAACCGTTTGTCATGCAATCATTAGTACAATTATTATTACTCCCATGTTAAAATGCAGCTTTGTGGCTCTGTAGTATGTCTGATTTACAGTGCAGAGTGACATGCGGCAAAGATTGAAATTAAAAGCAAACATCTTATGTCTTAATGTTTGAGTAATATATGTACTGTAAGGTCCAGGATTTTGAATTGTGTTGTTGAGTAAGCCATGTTGGGGTCTGTCAAGAAGTTGATTAGGTTTGTATGGATTTTATGTTTTCAGAGGTTGAACAGATTGAGGCCATCGCTAAATTTGATTACGTGGGACGCACTCCCAGGGAGCTGTCCTTCAAGAAGGGAGCATCTCTGCTTCTGTACCACAGAGCGTCTGAAGACTGGTGGGAGGGACGCCACAATGGTGTGGATGGCCTCATCCCACATCAGTACATTGTGGTACAAGATCTGTGAGTAATGGCAGAATGTGTTTTTGTACTGTGTTTATCTTGTGTCATGTAATCTTCTCACTTCACAAAACTCTTGGCTTTGATTAAGATACTGTTCCTTTATTGAATTATTTTAATTGGTTTTTCTGTTCTTTATGTGTGTATCTTATACTCACTATCAATGCCTCTGCTCTTTCAGGGATGATGCTTTCTCTGATAACCTCAGCCAGAAAGCGGATAGTGAAGCGAGCAGTGGACCACTGCTGGATGATAAGGGCTCATTCAAAAATGATGCCCCTTCACCCTGTGAACCATCACCTGATTACAACTTTGGTGGAGTCATGGGGAGGTAGATACATTAAGAGTAAAACCTATTTGTTCCCTATTTGTTATTTTGTTATATGTCGTTGCTGCTATATTGTACTGCCATGTGGTAAATACTCGTGTATGCTGCTCTTGCTCTTTTGCACTTTTTGCATATCATGTATTTTGTTTTTGCTATGTTTGTAAAATGTAATTTTCTTAAATGTTTTATGTGAGGGACTGCGGATGGAAATTAGCTCAAAGCTAAATCTGGCACTGTTACACTTGACACATTTGAATGTTTTAAGTGTTTATTACTGTGCATTGTCCCTGCCAAATAAGCGATTAAATTAAATGAAAAATTGTTCCCAACGTTCTTTTGAGTGCTATTGAAAAGATTTCTGGTTTGACCTTGTAATCTGATCACTCTGCAGGGTAAGACTACGGTCAGATGGAGCTGCAATCCCTCGTCGTCGGAGTGGTGCAGAGACCCACAGCCCAACCAGAGGGGCCGACACCCCGCCACGGGCTGCAGCCTGTCCCAGCAGCCCCCACAAGGTTTCCATCAGCAAGGGGCGTATTGAGAGCCCAGAAAAGAGGCGCATAGGCACCTTTGGCAGTTCAGGAAGCATCAACTACCCAGAAAGGAAGGCCTATCCTGAGGGCCACCCTCTGAGACCGGTGCCTGGGGCCACTCGCCACAGCAGCCTCGGGGACCACAAATCACTTGAGACTGAAGCTCTGGCTGATGTAAGTGTGGGAAAGGGAGAAGACATGGGAAAATTCCTACAGACAAACAGAAGTATCTTTTGATACAATTGTTTTGTGTCCAGTAATGATATGAAGTGTCTTGTAATTATAGCATATAATAGGATTTAGAATGTTTGGTAGAATAGATCCAGGAGAGATCCAATCTGAGAGCCGCAGACCTGGAATAAATGTCAGGGTCAATGCAGCCTGGAGATAGACACAGAGGCATGGACCTGAATAACAAGAGCATGAAAGGTTTAAATATTCCTCATCAGCTAATTTCTGCAACATTAGATCGAAACACGATCACTTTTCAAAATGGTAAAA